GTTGTGATGGATGACGGGGGAGATCTGCCACCCAGCTCTGAGAGTGCTGAAGGCCTTGCTGACCCTCTGGATCCCTTGCAAGAACAACCACAACCTCAACAACATGCAGATGGACCGGCTCAAGAAGTAATGAGGACTGCGTTTGATGTCTGGCAACGACTGGTGGAAGACGCCCAGAATGTTCAGGTGAAGAACTTGACTTTCACCGAGGTTGTCCAGTCACGCTCAGTGAAAGATGTTTTGCCAGCACTGGCAAGAATACATGCCAGATTGCGCCATCTAGGTCTTCCTCTACTTCGAATTCACTGTGACAGGGCCAGGGAACTGACATCAGCAGTGGTTCGCAAATGGACGCTGGATCGAGGAGTGATCACTACCCTCACAACTGGAAGCTCCTACAAGACCAAGGGACGAGTGGAAGCGGAGGTGGGTGCGGTGAAGCGAGCTGTGCGCACTCTTATCAGTGCAAACTTGTGTCCTTTGAACCACTGGCCATTGGCTTTGCGCCATGTTGGCGAAAGACGACTTCGAAGTCAGCTTCAAGGAATTGGATGGCCTGCTGCTCCACTTTTGAAATTTGGCACCAGAGCCTTTGCCCTCAAGAAGTCATGGCAAGATCGGTACCATCCCTGGCGTGACACCAGAGAAGAAGTCATTGTCATGGGCCCCGACAAATGCAGCAGCCTCACAACAACCAACTACTATGTGAAGTCCGTGGCAACTGGTCGGTTCTTTTTTACGGATGATGTGGTTGAACCGGTTCATCCTCCAGCGATGCCAGCTGAACCTGCGGAGCCAGCAATTTTTCTTCCTGAACGACTTCGCCCTGCTCCTTCTGTGATGGATGGTGTGCCAACCAGGCGCTTGAGAACAAAAACGGCAGTTCCAGCCATCAGATCGATGTGGAACATCGAGGGGGAGGTAAAGGGGTCTGAAAAAGTTTTTGGTCCACATCATGATGTTTTTGGAGTGCCACAGCATCTTCAACACATGTTTGACGTGGATGAAGTTGAAAGTGAAGCCAGCTGGACCTTGGGAACTATGTCAAATGTTTCAAATCAAACATCAAGTGAGTCACAGGCCGAAACGCCATCAGCCGCATCACAGGCGGAAACGCCTACCCTACAATCTGATGCCGAAGAGCTTGGAGGAGGGGAGATGGAGGAGGCGCCTAACAACCGGGATGGTGGCTCAAGCCCGGTGGCCTCATGCAAAAGTGGTGTAACGGCTTTGAGAGCTCTGCATGCCAACGTGGCCAACTACGTGGCGGAAGAGATGAAACGTTTGGATGCAGTGTCAGGCGATCAGGCCTTGTGGATTGGGGTGGTTTCTGATGCCATTTCCTTAAAGCTCATGTTGGAGAATCAGCTCAAGGAAGCTCAAAATCAACAGCTTCAAGAAGACCAACAAGTTTTGGAGCAAGAGTTTTTGGTGACGAAGACCATCAGCAACAATGAGGTCTGGTCTCACTTAGATGACTGGGAGAACTCCATCAGGGCTGAATTTGAACAGCTTGTCAACACGAAGCAGGCAGTACGTCAGGTGGCAAAAGCTGAACTGCAGAGGTTGGCCAAAAGCGCTGGGCTTCCCATTGAGCTGTTGCCTGGGAAGATGGTTCACACCAGAAAAGCTGGGTCAGGTGCTTACAGGTCCAGAGCGGTAGTATGTGGAAACTACCAAGAAGCTGGCAGCGATGAACGGTATGCCAGCGGTGCTGACGGCAACCAAATCCGAGCTCAAGTACGACTTGCTGGAGTAAAAAACTGGTCAGTATGTGGAACAGATATCAGGGTTGCGTTCTTGAACGCGCCCAAACGTGATGACAAAAAGATCACGGCGATGGAGGTGCCCACTGTCTTTCGAAAGCTTGGACTGGCTGGTCCTAATGATGTGTGGATCATCCAGAAGGCTGTTTATGGCCTAACCAGCTCCCCTAGAGACTGGTGTCTCTATCGAGACGAAACCCTTCCAACGATGTCGTGGCGGAGGAATCGACAGGGACAAGAAGTTGATGGAAGCTTCATCCGAACCCCTGATGATAACGTTTGGCGCTTGGAGGAGGTGAACAGGAAAACGGGGGAGAAGTTTTGGTCTGGACTGATGTCTGTGTATGTGGATGATCTGCTGATCACTGCAGAGGATGGTGCTGCTGAAATGGCAATCAAAGCCATTGCTGATGTCTGGGCTATATCGGAGGTGGAGAAGGCTGAGGTGAACAAGCCGGTCAAGTACTGTGGCTTTGAAATAGAAGCAGCTCCAGGTTATGATGGTTTTCTTCTCACACAAAAACGGTATGAGCAAGAGATGCTTCAGCGATGGAACGTGACAAAGTCCATCGACTACCCGAACTTCAAGCTGTGTGAAGGAGATGAAGAACCAGAACAACAAGTCGACCAGAGCCAGATCAAAACTGCGCAGGCCATAGCTGGGGCCTTACTTTGGCTGAACACCAGAACACGACCTGACATTTCAGTCGGAGTTTCAGCTGTCTGCCGTTTAGCAACAAAAAACCCTGTGAAAGCCATTGAGATCGGCATGAACGTGATGGCCTACATACGGGGAAAACCTGGTGGACTTTGGTATCCCAGGGAAGCTCCAAAAGAGATCTGGGGGGAGCGCAATCAGCTGAAGATCGCACGCAGTGTCAAGCTTCTGGAGGTTTTTTCAAATATTGCCTATGGCACTGGTTCCCGTGGAAGGAGCATTCAGGGGATGGCAATTTTCTTTGCCGGTGCCATCATCAGCTGGCAAACAGCCGTGCAACCTTTCGTCACCCATTCCACTGCGGAGAGCGAGTTGGTGGCCTACTGTGATGCCTTGAATGCAGGTCGTTCGGCCGAAGCAATGCTATCGACGATGATGGGTGTTCCGATTGGGAGCAATGCCATAGAGAGGGTGCTGTATGGTGACAATGTGGCGGCCATTGGATTGGCGCATGGCACAAGCAATGCATCATGGAGGACGCGTCACTTGCGCATACGCTCCTCATACCTCCGTGAAGCTCTTGAAGGACGAGCACCAGGTGGCATGTGGCACCTTTTGCATCTCAGAGGAGTAGAACTTGTGGCCGATGGCTTAACCAAACCTCTTCAAGGACAAGCCTTTGCAGCCTTTTTGACAGACCTTGGGATGCAACAACAACAACCACCAGATCGACGTGATGGTGATGAGCAAGGTGGCAGCCGAAATGTTGCTGTGATGACCCTGGTGGCTGGAAGCATGTTACTTTCTGGAACTGATTCCGTCCCTGAAGATGACGGTGACGCTGACTCTCAAGTCATTTGGACTTGTGGTGCGATTTTGATGGCCTTGGGTGCAATCTATGCGGGGCAGCTTGCTTTTAGTGGTGCCAAGTGCTGCCTGAAGCGATTGTATGGTCCTTCGCACAGAGAGGAGGATAGATGATGCCGTCAACTGAGTGTGGAAAAGGATTCAGGTGAGGAAGTTTTGGTGAAATTTCAGCGATCTGAAGGGGCTTCGTCCACTCAGAGCTCTACGTCTGTGAGTATAACAACACAGTCGGGCTTGCAGCAGCATGGCGAATCGACCTCTTTGTCATCACGGTCGGGCTTGCAGCAGCATGGCGAATCGACCTCTATGTCATCACGGTCGGGCTTGCAGCAGCATGGCGAGTCGACCTCTATGTCATCACGGTCGGGCTTGCAGCAGCATGGTGAGTCGACCTCTATTTCATCACGGTCGGGCTTGCAGCAGCGTGCTGGGCAATCTCCAATGATCGCTGGGGAATCTACTTCCAGCGGCTCCGCTACCACCTCGGGCTTAGCAGTTGGTGAGCCTTCATCCAGCGGTTCGAGTTTTGCCGCGGGATCTGCAGGTGTGAGCGTTGAACAGACCCCAAAGCAGGGCACACCTAGGAATCCATGGAATGCCTTTCAAAGAGAGCACAAGGGCAAAGGCCTGTCGACAAAGACAAAGGCCTCCATGTACAATTATCAGAAGAACAAAGTGCCTTGAGCCCCCCCTTTGGTGCTTTTTGGAAGGTGAAAATATTTTTTCTTTTGAAATGCCGTGAGAACATGGCACAATGCAATTCGCTAGCAAATTGGGGGGAGTCCGTTGATCATTGCACTCCATTACCCCTGTTTCGACCATAGGCACTTTATTGCCCAAAGGAAAAAACAAGGTGTGGCGCGACAAGACAGGAAAGCCCTATATTTGATGGTAAAAACCATGGTTTCCTGTAAATTTTCCCTTAAACCAATCCAGTGAAACCATCAGTCACCATGCTTAAAACCACCAGGATATCATGTGGGCCCCGGCCCTATGGTTTTCTCTAGGTGAACCATCCGGTCACCAATGACATCCAGACCCGGCAGTACAGATCACCTGAGGCAGGGCGGACAGGTGTCCGAATATGGGAGGTATACCTTATATCAGATACCCATAAGATGCGAAGATGGGAGAAAACTGGGTAAATCAATTAGTAAATTTCATGAAATTTGGGGTTTCTCCAGTTTAAACAAGTTTGTTTTTAGACACCATTTGAGATATCCTATAGTGTTCCTGGGAACCTTTCCCATAGGTAACTAGGCCTTGGTTCCGGAAACTATATGTTTGGTTACCTGTCCCAAAGGTAATATTCAAAGGTTAGGGATATTTAATATTCAAATGATTCAAATGGACTCTAGAAATCGTCCCCCCGATGATACCAGCCTGCAGGTCATCATTGGCGCTGCTTGGGACGAAACTGCCGACGTTCGGAGCTCGGGAGCTGGTCAGCCAATAGTGTCTGAGGCCTGGATGATACCCCGAAATGTAGACCCAAATCAGGTAAAAACAGGTAAAATCTATAAATATGATACCTCCAAATTGATGATTGTTTTCGTCGATTTTATTCATCGTTGGTAATGACATTAGAATATATAGGCCTAAAATCCTAGAAAATCCTAGAAATGTCCCTTGAACCAAGTCTATTCACTTCTCAGATGGTCAGCTTCCCATTTCTCCAAAATGTATTCAAGGTGTGGAGTGCTGCGTGCATGTTCTTCGAACTCGCGACCGGAGAATTCCTCTTTGACCCCAAAAAACAGAAGGGGGATGTGCCGAGCTCAGATTTGTTGCATTTTTTGAACTTTGAGGATGTGATTTGGGGATGATATTTGTGGGAGGTTCTGAAAATGTTTGGAGGATCGCCCGATTTTTTTTTAAAATGACTATTGTATCATATTCAAACCATCATTTTGAGAGTGTGACGTGGCTTTCTTGTAGTTTTGGAGGCTTCCCAAACGAATATGTAATATGTATGGCACCTTGTCCTACGGCATGCCAACATGTTTGAGATATTTTTGGGATCCCTCATTTGGAAAACCTGAGTTAACTCCCCATTAGTGCCGCCATGGTGACAGCCTGTATGATCCTGTAAAAAAACACCGCGGAGAGAGTTTCTGGTAATGACTAACATAGCTATATAGAAAATGGCCATAGAAATAGTGAGTTTTCCTAGTTATGTTAGTTTACCAGCGGGTAGTTTCTCTGGATTTTCAATTGTCTCTTAATTTTTGGGCAACATTTTGTGCACAGCTCGTCATGACAGGTCTTGTCACCCTTGGCAATGCATGTCAACCATGTTTTTCCACAACGCATTCTGCGGCACAGAGTGTGAGTTTTGCGTGGCCAGATCACGGTGTTCATATGTTCGTAACAAAAGCGTCCTGGGTGGATGAACATCCAGCTATATCAGGTCTAGACTCTAGACGGTCTAGATATATATGTTTGCAGCGTCTCGGCACATCAAAAGGATCATGCCAAGGGTCAAAAAGGTAATAGAAACATATTGAAACCATATGAAACGACTGCATCGTAACAATAGCATCTAGCTAAGTTGTTTCACAATAATGTGGGTAAAACAATAATAAACCACCACATTTTTTAATGTTTTTTCCCACTAATAAAAATGGTGATGACTGGGGGATGGTGCAAATGGCATTGTTTTATATACCCACATTATAAACCATCCCCCAAATATAAACAATAATAAACCATAAAATATTATATGCTATTATTGCTATATAGCAATGGCATTGGCAAGTCAGGACTGGGACCGAGATGAAGATCACTTGGCACTCGTCGCAGAATTGCTGGACGGTCTGCCTGACAAGGAGCGCGTTGGGGGGGGGTGCAGCTGGGGATCAAAGTTGTGTAACCAGGAGAAACCATGGAAAAAAACCCATAGGTTGTGAGGGATGAACATTTATATCATATTATATCTACAAATTATCTATATACATGACATATTATATCATATTATATATACAATATATATTATACTTATTTATTTATTATACATGCATATACATCCATCAAAACCTGAGAAAAATATTCATCGTTGGGAAATGAAGATCACGTGTTAAGCACGGCGGGCTTCCATTTTGACCGCCGACGTCTGAGGACTTCTGCTTGTCTGGAAAGTATTCCAAGGCGTCGGACGGTGTGTGTGTGTTTGGTAATGTGGATAATGTGGTATGTACCCGGCCTGGTAATGACTCACAGTTTGCGACATTGAAAATGGCCATATATAGAAATAGTGGATTTACCCAGCTATAAAATGCTGGATCTTTCCATGTTCAAGATTACCAGAGGGTATGTTTCACTATCATACATCGAATCTACATGACACAGATGTGGACGTTTTGGTGGATGGGAACTTCCCCCCCCACAGTGCCCGGGCACTCGAGCAAGCTGACAGGATTTCTTCAACAACTCGGGCAAGCTGAAACACATCAAGAACTTCAAGCCGTCTCCGCCTGGTTTCGGATTTGGACCCAGAAATCTGGGATTTGTTTGGTCCAAGATGTCCAAGATGTCCATGTTTTATGGATGAAAATGGCCATCATTTTCCCCATCATGGCTGCGAAATTTTGCCAGAACATAGCAAAACGCTATCCATGATGCTTGGACAAACCAGTCATAGCTGTGTATGGATATTATTAGGATCACTACGAAATAGCTATAGACCTAAACTGGGTAGTTGATCCTGTCAACATCTTTCAACTACCATCAACTCGTGATGCTTTTTTGGAGGTTGTCCCCACAGCCAATAAAGCTTGGGACGTTGGGAAACTCGGCGCACATGATGCACGGTGAAATCCAAAAAGGGCTGGCGAACTTTCCATGGGATTTCACCATGGTGAAACCCCATGGCACCTTTCCCAAATCCATGGCATCCATGGTTGAACCATGGTGAAACCCGGATATAATATACCTATATAAAATTATATAAACCTGGATATACCTATATAAAAATACCAATAGAAAATCCTAGAAAAAAAATCACACATAATTTTTCAAGATCCCAGTCATGGCAGCTTCATCTCCGCCGAAGCCAGGATGTGGCCCTTGTTTGGCGTTCTCAATGAAAAATATCTCTTCTCCGAAGAAGACGCCAAAGAGGCGCGCGACCCGCCAGAGTTTTCTGAGCAGAATTTCCATCGAATTTGTGTTCAAATCTTGGAATTTCCATAGAATTTCCATATTTCCATAGAATTTCCATAGAATTTCCATGTGTAACCAGAATTTGAAGAGCTGTGACATGATCTCAACATTTTTTTCCGATCTATCTGCGGAGATGACATACCCTGACGACCAAATGATTCTTTTTTGCCTGGTATGTCAGACATTGTCAGACACATTGGGCCTGGCAAAATCCCAAAAAAAAAAGAAGGGTGTTTGATGCGTTAAACCGGCTTTGAGCCATGTCAATGTCCTAAATTTAGGTAAGCCATTTCAGGTAAACATTAACAGAAAACGAACTGGAAAGATCCAGCATGCTATGAAAATGGGTAAATCCACTATAACTCGACTGGGCCATGGCTTCAATGTCGCAAACTGTTAGTCATTACCAGAGGGTAAGCCATTTGGTCCAAAAAATGTGTTGCCTCCGTTTTTTGAGTTTCGGATCTAAACATGTGGGTGTAACCAGTACCGAAAATTGGTGAAAATTGGCTTCCCCAATCTGAGGGTAAAATAATCTACCAGGGCATTTCCATGTCAATCCATTGAGTTTTCCAAAAAAAACATGACCCATCAGCAATTGGACTTTGTTGTATTTGAAAAAAAAACACCTAAATCAACACAAATCCGTACACATCTCATGTTTTTTCATCGGGCTCCTATTTGTATTTAAAAAAATGGTAATTATCCCAAACAACAAGTCATATCATCATTCTCCCCCATTCTTTGGAGGGTCATAAATTGGGGGCCTGTCACATGAGACGACCCTACATCATATTCTTGGATGTTTCATCAGTTCATCCTATCATCCCGAGCACCGTGAACCCTGAAGTTATGGTCATGGCAAATCCAATTACATCCAATTGAATCCAATTAATGTGGTTAAAACAATGCCATTTGCACCATCCCCCAGTCATCACCATTTTATAGGTAGTATAAACATTATAAACCATTCCCAAATGGGTGGTTTATTATTGTTATTTAACCACATTAAATCCATTATCTCCTGCTATGACATGTTGGATAAGAATTTGATTTTTTAAAGGTGCCCCCCATGATTTCCCCCATGTTTTCCCTACGGAGTCCTTGGGTTTACACGTCGCGATGCTTCTTGTTCCTAGGGTCATGCGTTGTAACCCAGTGTTCCGTTGGAAATTGTTGCAATTTTATGCCAATAATGATCTACAGAATCTGTAAAAACCCATGCAGAATATGAGATCTATGTTGAGATCGTGTGCAGATTTGAAGTGCATGGTATCGGTGTTCCAATACAGAAGGCACAATTGACATTGCATGATTCGTAGATTTTGGCACTATCCCGACATATGAAACACGACCAGAGTTCCACATTTGAACATGAAAGGACTTGGTCTTAGCAGTGCAACGCAGGTTCAGTTGTACTGTGGTGAGAACTGCCCTGGACTGTGATGAGATCATTGACGGTGTTCCATGGGGATTTTGGTGAGATTGCTGAGTTTTCTTGTGTCACAAAGGCCCGCCTCGTGTGTTTGCCCATGGTTGTCCCTAAGATTTTCCCTAAGAATTTTCCCCAAGATTTTTCCCTAAGATTTTCCATAGGATCTTCCCACATGTTTCCCACATGTTTCCCACGGCGTTCCTCATGCGAACTGCCGCAGATGTGCGACTTCTTGCTGCCCATGTTGGCCTGGAAGCCAGCCGAGCGGCAAGCGGCCAGTGAGGTGGGATCAAGGGATTGTTTGAATTTTTTTGGAGGGTACCCCAACTGGTTGGTGGTGACTGGAACCATGGAATTTTCTGGTAGATATATATATATTGACAAACTTACTATGGGAATATTAATAATATTAATATGGGAATATCATATATAATATACCTGGTTGCTGGTGACTGGAACCATGGAATGGATTATGACTTTCCATTCAGTTGGGAATGAAAAATCATCCCAACTGACTTTCACTCCGCCATTTTTCAGAGGGGTAGGTCAACCACCAACCAGCCAATGATTAGATGGTGAAAATATATGAAAATACTAAAGATACTCCACTAAGTCATCTGTCCCGTTTTGCCGAATTTGTTTGACTATCCAATCTGGAGATTTCTGGGGATATCGTGTGAGTTCTGGAGGTTATGTAGTGATTATTATAATTTACCACGATAGTTCATTTATATACCATTATATCAATATCCCATGTATGCACAGTCATATATTATAGTTGGAGAATAGATGATCAAATTGGGATATATAAATATCAGCCATTGGGATATCTTGGGATAGTAGTTTACTAATTAATATAATGTGGGAAACCCAATGCTATACACCTACGATGACTGGCGATCATATTTGCCGCCCATCTATATATTGGTTTAGGGGGTGGTGTGTGTATACCCATTATATCAATCCCATTGATGAACAGTGATATATGAGACATTTATTGGGACATTACAGTGATCCCAATATCCCATTAGTTGATAGTTACATAAAGAATAAATATATGTATGTATATATATATATATATATATACGGCAAATGCCTGGTTTTTGCCCGGACCCGCAATGACGACGGGCGACGCATCATCATCATCATCATCATCATCATCACCATCATGATCATCAACAGAATCATCATCATCAACATCATCAAACCCTTATTGACGATCTTCAATGAATGTAGAAGTTTAACGGGGGTGGGAGAATTAAACCCTTATTGAAGATAGATCTTCAATGAATGTAGAAGTTTAACGGGGGTGGGAGAATTAAACCCTTATTGAAGATCTTCAATGAATGTAGAAGTTTAACGGGGATGGGAGTTCAATATTCCCTTGATCTTCCCAATTGAATGTAAAGTTTAACGGGAGTGGGAGTTTTATATTCCCTAATACCGTTTTTGGTTTTTCCCTTAGGAATTTCGGGTGTTTTGACATTTTTTGATATAGTCCCTAGTACCTTTGCTGTTTTCCCCATAGGAATTTAAGGTTTAACGGGGGTGGGAGTTTAATATTCCCTAATATCTTTGTTGATTTTCCTAATTGAATGTTAAGTTTCACGATTTGAGAGTTTAAAATCTCCTAGTACCTTTGTTGTTTTTCCCATAGGAATTTCAAATGTTATGCCGTTTTTGTTTTTCCCATAGGAATTTCGGGTGTTTTGACCTTGTTTCTTTAATAGTCCCTAGTACCTGTCATTTTTCCCATAGGAATTACGGTAATTTGCAACATCATTTGTTTGTGAATGGGAAACCTCTACGCTGCAACGCCTGGGCAAAACCCAGGCGTTGCGTGTATATATATATATATATATCAATCCTATAAGGTACTAGTTATATCATAGTTATTGTTAATATTTATTTATATCCCAATATATCAATATCCCAGAATATCCCATATAAACAAGTGAGATTCATAGTTCAGGCGATGATTTGGATGATTTGCTCAATGGGAAATCCACTAGACATGGGGAATCTGTTTTGGGCATATGTTTTTTAAGTTTTTTGGTGGTTTCTCATAAGCAGCTCCAAGGATTTTCTGGGATTTCATGAGGGATTTTAGCAACCCGACGGGTTAGATTCGCACATTTAGTTCGTTGACTTAGCTATTATAATTAAAGATGGTGATTTTCCAGTTCGCTATGCTAGTTGACCAGAGGGTATGAATGTTTTTCTAGTTCCATCATGTCTAGATATTCTATGATTTGGTCCACCGTTTTTGATGGGTGCCCTCCGGTCGTGGCAATTGAACATCCACCATTTGCGAACCAACACGAATCGACAGACACGAACCGGAACGAACCAGCTATAAAGCTCCATTTACAGATGAATTTCAAGCCACGTTTCATTACCGCAGGGTGCCCCCATCATTTTCCATTCAACAGACACGATAATTGTTCATTTAACCTTGGTTCATCTGGAAACTCTTACAACCTCAAAATTTTCCATTGAACAACCCCTATAATGTTCCATTTAACCTTGATTTGTCTACCATTCTTCATGTTGAAAACCCTTAAGAAAAGCCCCAAATTTTCCGATGGTCAGGCGTTGAAGCACTCCTGGGTGCAGGCTACCGAGGCAGAGCTGGATGTCGGAAGCCTCAGATGGCTGCAGATGCTGATACTTTCCATGTGCATCAATGATATCATGGTTAATAATGATCCATAATCAGGATATCTATGGTTTATAAATATTATCATGAATATCAATGGTTAATAATTAACATTTAGATCTGGGTTAATAAAGGAATCCTGGAATCATATGGTTTTTATATGGGAAATCATTCCCTTTTATGGCCCAACAACTCAGGTTAGTGAAATAAAAAAAATACCCAGATAGATGGTTTTTGTTGTCAACTACTTGATGTTTAGCAGTTTGTCAGCTAATGCTGTTTGGCAGCTATAGCAGATTTCTCAGTTTCTAATCATGATGTTCGTCAGTTTTTTTTTACCAGTTAAAAAAATACTTTACTTCGAGTGATCCCCACCATGACATTTATACGTTTTAATATTGGCATATCTTCCACCACAAGCATTGCTTTGACATTTTATCTGGCATATCTTCTGGCATTTTATCTGGCACATCTTCTGGCATTCTATCTGGCATATCTTCTGACATTTTGTCTGGCATTCTCTCTGGCATATCTTCTGGCATTCTATCTGGCATATCTTCTGGCATTGTATCTGGCATTCTATCTGGCATATCTTCTGGCATATGTTCTGGCATATCTTCTGGCATTCTATCTGGCAAATCTTCTGGCATTCTATCTGGCATATCTTCTGGCATTCTATCTGACATATCTTCTGGCATATCTTCTGGCATTCTATCTGGCATATCTTCTGGCATATCTTCGCAGGTCCCAGGTTGAGGTCCAGCAGTGCACACTGAGCTGGGAAGGTCCCCGGTTGAGGTCCAGCGGTGCACACTGAGCTGGGCAGATCCCAGGTTGAGGTCCAGCGGTGCACACTGGGCTGGGCAGGTCCCAGGTTGAGGTCCAGCGGTGCACACTGAGCTGAGACGGTCCCTGGTTGAGGTCCAGCGGTGTGCACTGAGCTGGGCAGGTCCCAGGTTGAGGTCCAGCGGTCAGGTTGAGGTCCAGCGGTGCACACTGAGCTGGGAAGTTGGCAAAGAGCTTGGCGCAGAGAGTCGGCGAAGAGAGTTGGCAAAGAGCTTGGCGAAGAGTTGGCAAGGCGGAAGTGCAGGTGGAAGTTGATGCAGACATGGTCGAGGAGAAACTGGAGGAGGAGGCGAGGAGGAGGAGGAGGACGAGGACGAGGAGGAGGACAGCTAGCCGAGGAGGAGGAGGAGGAGGAGAACAACTCTGATAAAATCTAACAACCCTCACCTGGCAGGTGGGGAAAAACGGAAAAACACATCTCTGAATATCATTATTTGACAAAACTGATGAACATCTCGGTGTTTCGGTGGCCACGGACGTCCCGCAAGCGGCGCAACCGAGGAGTACGTCAAGGCCGAGCCGCCGGAGCTGCCGGAGGCCACGGCGCCCACGGAGGCCACGGAGGCGCCGAGCACGGCGGAGAGTCCCGAGTCGCCGGAGCAGGTGCAGCGACTGGGGAGCTGCGAATGGATCAACAGTGATATAATACATATATATATATATATATGGGATGATATGGGATGATATGAGATGATCAACAGGATGAAAGATGGGATGAAAGATGCTGGTTGGTGGTGACTGGAACCATGGAATGGATTAAAACTTTCCATATGTGGGCTAATCCGAAACCCACTGACGAACTCGTATGTTTCAATATGGTTAAAACCACCAACCAGGATGGCATCATATGGATTATCAACGGATCCGAAGTTAGACATTGGTTTAATATATGGTTTTACAGTGATATCAATTGGTTGACTAATGTGGGTAAAACAATGCCATAAACCATCCATGATTGAGAATGGCAAGTCTATACCACAAAAATTCTGATTTGGGGAATGGTTAATTATTGTTTTACCCACATTAATTAGTCAACCATATTGGATAGTACTGGGTCATATTTTCATCAAATTTGAAGTGAGGGTGTGATACTGGGTCCAAAAAACAATAAGGATTTTAAAATGAGTGTCAACAGTTATAGTCTAATGAATATTTGAATCAACGGTGCTGTAGTACATGGTAATATAATATATTCTAATACTATCTATGATATTGGAACGTGGTATTGTACTGTGAGATGAGGAAAGCAATAGGATAATAAGTCATCCGCAATGGTAACACCCACGGTTGTAGGTGGTATAAAGCATCAACATATGGGCGGTTTATTGTTATTTTACCAACATTAGTAAACTCATTGTAGTAGTCTCTCTATCTCTATATATCATATTATATTGGGAATCAACAATCAAGGGTACTGTTGTAGTAGTCGAATAAGTCTTCTATATAGCATATGTACTTGTATTGCATCAGTATTACTTGTATACTTGTCGACATTTCTTGAATGCGTTTCTTGATTTAGATGATTTTGGATTTCCCACCTACGCTGTAATGACATTTAATCACTGTATGATCCGTCATGATCATGTATGATCTGTATGTGCGCTGTGCTGCTGCCCCTGGTGGTCGTCCCTGAAACCCATACGGACCCGCTCCCAGGTCTGATGAGCTCAGTGCTTTCTGCTAAAGCTCTGGTGTGCTCGGAAAAAAATCTTCGCTCCGTATGCTTCTGTGAGAGGACGGAAGAAATGATTGAGGATTTGTGGGAATCGAAGCAAACTGAAAGGTTGCCTTGAAACTGATGATAATGCTGATGTTTCATAAGCAGACTAGGGGCTGTGAGTCTTATGTCAACAGTATAAAGGACCAGATAGGAACACTCGCTCACGGTGTTTTCACGTGTATCTTTTGGAATTTGGCACAGTGATCCTTTGAGTAGGCAGCTGTTTGAGCTCAAATTCCTATGGATCATTTGCTCGTGCCTAAAGCGACTAGAACGACTTGACTAGTGGTCGAAAAAGGTTTCAAAAAAGGCAGGTCACTGCGACATTCCCTGTTGCTGCATGCAAATTCTGTATTCCGGAAATTCCTCCACACCACACTTCTGCTGGAAAACACCTGGCTTTATTAGACAATAAGGGTACCCTAAATCCACTAGTGTATGATGTTTATCATCATGTTCCCAAAAAAAGGATTACCATTTTGGCAAAATTCCCATTGTCAGACACATCCAAAGACCACAATAGGGTGACAAGCTAGACGACCTTAGAACATCCCCATAGAACATCCACAGTTTTTGACACATATTCCCATGATTTCCATTGATTTCCATTGATTATTCCATATTATTCCCATGATTTCCCATGATTTTCCCATGAAAAAATCGCTTCACGTCCCGTTCGTCCCCGCCTGACGTAATCCCTGACGTTCCGATGGCTTTCCGGCGCATCGCGGCGTACTTTCGCCTGCGGCGCTTCGATGCGCAGCCTGACGGTGGCCCGTCATGGGTAAGTCATGGGGGTACCCCAAGTTTCCAGAAATCTGGATTTTCCATGAACTAATCCATCCAGCTATTGGGGAGTGATTTAATGTGATTTACCGAATTGGGAATTTTTGTGGCTGGATGGATTAGTTCATGGAAAATCCTACCAAATGGATGATTTTGGTTTGGGGTACCAATATTTTAGGAAACCTCCAGATGAGTTGTATAAAGAATATGATCTTTACCAGACAAAACCATGCATTGCTGCAGATTCGCGCAGAGGGATGAATGAAACGACTGAAAAACCTCTTAAGTTGTTCATGTTTTTGACAGAAGATCTTTGAAAAGGAAAAGAAGGTTAGTCAGGTTAGTTGACATCCGTAAACATATCCATACTTTGGCAGGGTCAAAAAATGGTTTCGCTGGAAAAATCGGTGCACTAAGGTGCTGGGTTTCCTGGCTGCAGATAGCATCGATGTATCCATGGGTCGTAGCTGTGGGGAGCTTTAAGGGTAGCTGCTTGGAGCCTCCCTGGGCTCACACACACACACACTGCTTGGTGACCAGATTCAGGCAACTTGAGTTTCTTGCATTTGTATCCGATTGAACAGTCCTTCAAAATTGGTTCGTTGGTTGAACATTGTTTAATGACTTCTCGCCTACCCAAGCGTTATTAAAGTTGCCAATTTAGGGTGCCCCTTATTTTTGGACACCCCCAAGAAGCATGTTAAGTTTGTTATATACCCCTGATACCCCCATGATATTTCCAGTGTTATCATATAAAGTAGTGCCCCAATTTTCACAGTCACCCAAATGTCATATTGTTGATTACTGTTGACCACATGTTGCATGTATTCGATTATATTCCACTTTATCCCACCATATCCCATGATAGTCCATTTTTGTTGGTTAAATCACCAAATATCTAAACGTGATCACCACCTCCCTGCAAGCTCACTGGAAAGATGATTAGAGTGATTAGAGATAACTATCCACATTCAGCCTTACTTCAGGTGAGTGATTTCATATTGGGTTTTATACTGGGTTTCAGCCCAATTTCATAAACTACCCCCAAGACATCAGCATTTTTATGGCTATAAACCATCCCCACATGACAAGTATTACCACACTCGATTTTATGATGGTTTAGTTGAACTTAGTTGGTAATAATCATGGGGTTATTATGGGATATTATGGGGATTATTATGGGGATTATTATGGGGATAAACCACCAAAAAAATAAATCCCCAAGAATCTTCTGAGTTTACCCAGATTCATCGAAGGCCTGGCCTCCTTCGCTCTTTGGCCCTGGAATCGTGAAGTCAGAGATGCGATCCGCGATAGCCTTCAGATGTGGATGGGAGGTGCAGCCCGAAGCTCGTTGTGAGTCTTGCCCAGAAATACCAATAGGATCCAGCATTTTTAGGGCAGTTGAAACATGGAGGCACTAGATGTTTGAGCCTACGGGTGGAAAACCGAACCAGCGTTTTGCATGTTTCTATGTCTTTCATGGGGTAAAGGGGGTAGGGTGGGGTGGGGTGGGCTGATGACGTTCACTTGCACTTCCTCACATACATGATGCTACGCTACTGTACGTCTTCTTGCACTTCCTCACATACATGATGCTACGCTACTGTACGTCTTCTTGCACTTCCTCACATACATGATGCTACGCTACTGTACGTCTTCTTGCACTTCCTCACATACATGATGCTACGCTACTGTACGTCTTCTTGCACTTCCTCACCATACATGATGCTACGCGACTGTAACTCTTCTGCACTTCCGCACATACATGATGCTACGCTACTGTACGTCTTCTTGCACTTCCTCCTCACATACATGATGCTACTGCTACTGTATCACATACATGCTATGCATACATGATGCTACGCTACTGTACTTGCACTTTTACGCTACGCTACATGCACACTACATGATGTCCTACACTACTGTACGTCTTCTTGCACTTCCTCACATACATGATGCTACGCTACTGTATTTTTTCTTTGCATTTCCTCACATACATGATGCTACGCTACTGTACGTCTTCTTGCACTTCCTCACATACATGATGCTACGCTACTGTACGTCTTCTTGCACTTCCTCACATACATGATGCTACGCTACTGTACTTCCTCACATACATGATGCTACGCTACTGTACGTCTTCTTGCACTTCCTCACATACATGATGCTACGCTACTGTACGTCTTCTTGCACTTCCTCACTTCGAAAAAGAAGGCGCAGTGGTGCACTAAGTGTGCACACGGGCACCATCGATAACGCATGGGGTTTGTTGAAGCAAGCTGTTCCCAAGTCTTTAGCTTCGAAGAAAGGACACACTTATAACCCGGCTTTGATCAAGCATTGCAGGTCCTGGCAATGGAGATGGAAAAACACTGGAACCAGTTTGTTTCAAAAGACTGCCAAAGTCTTGAATGAGACTGTCCAGTCTAGATGACTGTCCTTGGCGATAGAAAAAAACGCACGCAGAAATGTGCTAAAACCTGCATATTTCAAGAAAACTGCAAAAAAAAGACGCTGATTTTGGAAGCTCATGAATGCAGAAAACATTGCAAAACGCACGAAAAAAGCCAAAACACAGTGGCACGGCGAATATCATGAACTGAATTGTTTGTCAAAACCGTGCGTTTCGCATCCAATGTCTAGAATATGAACGCCAAAAACAGACAAAACGATCCCCGATGGTATTTCCACTACAAAAAGGGAGAACACGTGTACGGTATAAAATGGTCTGGGGAGAGATTTTTGTAGCTGAAATTGGTCTTGGGCCCCCCTTTTTGTAATAAAGCTACCCTAAGCATTTTGTAGTCCCCCTGTTTGGCAAATACAACAAGCTTTTTGTAGGCCTCCAAAACGTCGAATCAAAAATGGAAGATGATGTGATATTAGTTCAGGTCATGAATTGCTGATTGCATTTTGTAGTCTCAATGTGGCTGAATCATGTAATTTACAACGTAGCCCAAGAGAATCAGGGAATGCATTTTGTAGACAATGTATATCTATGTACCCTCCGCCGAATTTCCCTTGCAAAATGATAGCAGACGGATGCAGATGGAACTTCACTTATTTTCTTGTGTTTGTCCTAATGCTGCCCCTACATTTCGAGATCCCCAAATGGCTAAAGAATTCACCACACAGCCAAGAAGCTCAGCATTTATCCAAGTCTATCCATATCTATCCATTAAATTTCATTACCATATTTCAGGTGAAGTCGAATGCATCTGTCGCACTTAAATAAAATCATCACAGGCTGTGCCATGCCAAAGCGCGGTTCAAAAATTGTCTGGTTTACAAAACGGAGAGCACAAGAACTCTGGCCACAAAAAGCATATCTCAACGCTACTGCTTTTCTGCTCCCTCCCAATGCCACAGCTTCTCCCTGATGTCTCATTGTGGCAAATCTTGCATAGACACGCTACGCATTGCTACGCGATTGTCAAGGGCCAGGACTTGACCACATAAATCAAACTGCAAACAAAACTGTTGAACCAAACATGATTCAACAATATTGTTAAAAGTAATAGGCACTAATTATGCAGGTTTTGTCAAACCAGTCATTTGAATTCATTTGATGCATGCAGCTGTTCAACCAGGAGCATTAATCAAGCACTCTGGCCTTCAGAAATGGATTGGACTGGAAGATCGTTCCGGCATTGATCGACCTACTGCATCGGATTCAAAATTAATTTTTAGTGGAGCAGCACTGATGATTGGCTGAGGTCTGCAAGATTAAAGTCACCTCCACCAGGCCTATCCACCTGCTACAAAATGCGGGCCCCACCTCATGGCCCTACAAACTGACCAGTTTGGTCAAACTCAAAAGCATCACGTGGACAGTGTTACCACCTTAGCCCAGACTGTCTTCGCAAACAAAAGAATGCGAAGACAATGAAGTTTTGTCAGCATTGCTCAAGACAGAAATCTGCTCCAAAGCACGTAGATTAGGATAGACTAGCATCCATTAGGCCACTGATGCTTGCCTACAAAATGGCTCTTGGGGAACAAGTTCAGCACAGTGATTGAGCAGAAATGATCAGAAACCAAACTGGTTGAGACTACAAAAAGCCTTGGGCTTATCTTAGTCGTACATGCATCTGGTTTCAGCGTTAAGAACAAAAATGCGAGTGGCTTTTTGTAGGCTCCACCTGGGTATGTG